GGTAAAATGTTCTAAATAGTTACTAGGTTTTGTAGAACTTGTAAACTGGTAAAATGTTCTAAATAGTTACTAGGTTTTGTAGAACTTGTAAACTGGTAAAATGTTCTAAATAGTTACTAGGTTTTGTAGAACTTGTAAACTGGTAAAATGTTCTAAATAGTTACTAGGTTTTGTATAACCTGTAAACTGATAAAATGTTCTAAACGCTTCTTCATGCTCAAAATTTTTAAAAATATGTTGTGAGTATTCTTCAAACTTTAAGTTTCGCAAAGAGAAATCTCATCGGTATGTCGGCGGACTTACTACGCTAGAACCCAGGGTCGATACCCGTGGTGGGCAGAGCACAGATAGCCCTTTGTGTAACTTTGTTCTTAACTACAAACAAGCGCAACGAAAAATAGAAATGTACACTCTTATCAGTAAGGTAGACAAACAGATATTCGTATATTGTATTGTTTTAGTGTGTATCATCTAGGCAACAAAAATATTAACATTATCCAAAAATTCGCCCTCTACAGTTTCAAAAAGTTGTGTTATTTGAAAGTCTATTCTTAAATGTTCGTTGATCTGAAATTACGCATGCGTATAAGGTCTTTATTTGAGCGTATTAGTACGCGAATCTAAAAGAGAAAAAAAAAAATACTATAAAATATGTCGGTCCTTCGACGGCTGAGCAATAAGCTTGAGGACTTATAACGGCCAAATTCAGGATTCGATCCCTACGGATGCCACAGCTCAGCTAGGTCTCTCCGCCTACTTTTTACTTCCTGGAAGTATTTATTCCGGGGAGGGTCGTTTGATTAGGTTTTGTTTTTGTTTTTTAATTACTTCTCACAGATCTCAGTTATACAGAAACATAGACAGATTTTTTTTGAAGATTTTTGTGGCAATTGTTAGAATAAATAACTACGTCTAATACTGGTTAACCGTCACTGTGAACATTCCTCTGGAGACGACCCATCTCATAAATCAATAAGTTCTTAAAATAATATAATACATGAATATATACATGTTGTTTGTTTGTTTGAAATTAAGCACAAAGCTACACAATGGCTATCTGTGCTCTGCCCACCACGGGTATCGAAACCCGGTTTCTAGCGTTGTAAGTCCGCAGACATACCGCTGTGCCACTGGGGGGCCATAAATATATACATGTTGTTTGTTTGTTTTAAACTTTCACGCCTAGCTAAGCAAGGACTATCAGCGCCTAACCCTACTTAATTTCGAACGGGTAGACAGGAAGAAAGGTAGCCAGTTAACAGCACCCACCACCAGCTCTTGGATTACTCTTATCTGGACGAATTGTGAAACTTGACGGTCCTTTCATTAGGCCACACCCGGCCGACACATATATTTATGTATATCAAACAGCGTTTGTCGTGCAGCTTGATGTTTATTTTCTCGTCTGATTATACAATAAGAAATATCCTTCAAATAACCATACCTGATTTTTTTTTTACGTTGCCAGGTCTCCAGTGTTGTTGGTATGACCTCTAGGCACGTGGGTTTTCTTGCGTCTGACAGTTTTGTTTTTTTTAATTTTATTACCTATACATTTTTAAATATCACATCGTTACCACACCGAGGAGTATTTAGCTTTGTTTGGACAGTCCAACCAATAAAAATTGATAACAATGGAATAACTAGCTCTTTTATTGCATACAATAAATAATGATTACCACACTCCTACTTACACTTAAAAATTATTTTTACAATTAATATGTTTTAATTGAATCCAGTAATTTAGATACGAAAGATAAAGAACTCGAATATTTCATGATTGAATATATATAATTAAAGTTGGGAATAACCGGTGTTTGTTTGTTTGTTGTTAAGCGCAAAAGGTACATTGTGAGCTAATTTTACAGTGTCAACCAAGGGGTATCGAAACCCGAATATTAGCGATATAATTTCAGAGTTATCGCACTTGGGATCAATAAACGGTCAGTACGTTTTTCCGAAACTTAGCGTCAATTTCAGCCACATCCAAACGTTGCCAATGCACGTGTGCAAGTAACCCACCAGCTTCCAAAACTTAGCGTCAATTTCAGCCACATCCAAACGTTGCCAATGCACGTGTGCAAGTAACCCACCAGCTTAACTAAATTTGAGTTTCTCTTTAATTTTCATTACCTGCCCCCCCCTTTATTTTTTTTTTACAAATAGATTTATTTTCCTGTTTCTAAAAATTATGATCTTTAGCATTGCTGCAAGCCCAACGTTGGTCGAGTATGATTAGAATGTTTTAAATAAAACTTCGCTAAAACACAGTTGTTGATTTTAAACCGACTTTAACTTAGCTAGTACTCAGCTGAAGACAGGCATTTCTATCTGAAATTACGTTTTATATCAAGAATCATTTGCAATTTCCTCTTTCTTGATTTGATCGTTCGTTCATCTGCCATCTAGTTTAGCTAATGAGAACGGTTTGACGAAATAGGTGTCAATTTATTCAGTTAAAAACCACTACAGAACTGATGAAAGGTGTCCTCAAATATTATCGCAAAAGTGATTGTGTCACAGCGTTTTAAACTTTCAAATATTACCGCAAAAGTGATTGTGTCACAGCGTTTTAAGCTGTCAAATATTACCGGAAAAATGATTGTGTCACAGCGTTTTAAACTTTCAAATATTATCGCAAAAGTGATTGTGTCACAGCGTTTTAAACTTTCAAATATTACCGGAAAAATGATTGTGTCGCAGCGTTTTAAACTTTCAAATATTACCGGAAATGTGATTGTGTCACAGCGTTTTAAACTAACTAATCTTGAACTATAGGTAAGTTTTATTTTATTCGTTTCTCAGACTATCCTGAACTCGATGCACAAGTACCAGCCGAGGTTTCATCTTGTCCGGGCTAACGACATCCTCAAGCTACCGTACAGTACGTTCCGTACGTACGTCTTCAAGGAGACCGAATTTATCGCAGTCACAGCTTATCAAAACGAAAAGGTCAGTGAATCGGAGTTAGGAATTAGGATTAGGTTATAAGTGTAAAATCAAATGGATAGGTTGATAAGTAATCAGAAAAATAGGCAGACAGACAGACAGATAGATAAAAGATCAGTCAGACATATAGATAGATTGTTGGCCTCTAGAGAGACAGACAGATAAGATATGAGTGAGCGAAAAGAGATAGATAGAAGGTGAAAATATTAGTGCTGTACATACCATGAAATGTATATCAGATTCTTGAATATTTAGGGCATAGTTGGTATTTTATGTGTATATGAATTAGCAGAAGTTTTCATTTTTACCATAGCAACTGCATCCCTATCTTTTCTATCTCTTTTAACCTCACCATTAGCAACGCAGAAGTATCCTGCTCTTCATCGTCAAATATATCTATATATTTCATCTAGGCTATATAACATGTTAACTGGATAATAAACAATTTACATTTTTCTGTGTCTTATAACATGTGTTATCGTAAATAAGATATTAACGTTAAAAATCAGTGCTCGGTAACAGAGGGGAAAATTTAGTCACTCTTGATAGTTACCTTACAGAAACTGATTTGTAAACACTGGAAGCACCTAAAGGTGGCTCAGTGGTAAGTCTGAAGGCTTATAACGCTAAAAACCGGGGTTTCAATACCCGTGGCGGGCACAGCACAGATAACCGATTGTTTAGCTTTGCGTTTAATAACAAACAAACGAATCTACATAGCTCCCAGTGGCTCAGCAGTAAATCTAATGACTTGCAGCGCTAAAAACCGGATTTCGATACCTGCGGTGGGCACAACACAGATAGCCCTTTGTGTAGCTTTGCGCTTAACAACAAACAAACAAAGTTTATAGAGCATAGGGGTGGAAATCTTTTTGTATCAATCAGTTTAGAAATGAAAGTTTATTTATCTTGACATCGCTAAAGGGCGATATACAAGAATTAAGCCTAATAAGGTCCAGGTAGCCGTGAAGACGCTGATATTTAGTCTGTGAATTAAGCCTAATAAGGTCCAGATAGCCGTGAAGACGCTGATATTTAGTCTGTGAATTAAGCCTAGTAAGGTCCAGGTAGCCGTGAAGACGCTGATATTTAGTCTGTGAATTAAGCCTAATAAGGTTAAGGTAGCCGTGAAGACGCTGATATTTAGTCTGTGAATTAAGCCTAATAAGGTCCAGGTAGCCGTGAAGACGCTGATATTTAGTCTATGAATTAAGCCTAATAAAGTTAAGGTAGCCGTGAAGACGCTGATATTTAGTCTGTAACTCTGCCTTTGGTTTTAGTTTTCTTATAACGGGGAAAAAGTGAAAAATATTTTCAAACTTCAAAATGGCGTTTCTATGCCTTTCATTAGTAAAGAGTAAGTACCTGTGACAAACCGAATTATTTTGGTGACAGAGAGGCGAAAGAAAATCAATTTAGCTACGTTTTGGCACATTTCTTGGAACAATTTTCATACCTTTGTGATTTCTGGAAAGTGATTTTTTTTTAGTAATTAGCATATTTGACCACGCCTTTCAGATTTACGCCTTCGCGAATCACGCTCTCGTAGTTGATAACTGAATGACACGAAGTGAGATCACGTATTTGCCCTACTTATGCGAAATTGCACGTGATGGACACAATACAGGGTAGTATTAGTGTGATGGTTGTTAATGAAAACTTGGCATGTCCTGGGGAGTCAGAAGGACTCGTGATAAAATAATTAAAGAGCGTTTGAACATCTGCACATAACTTAGCATGTTCTGGGGAGTCAGAAGAACTCGTGATGAAATAATAATTAAAGTGTTTCAATATCTGTTATTAACGTGGCATGTTCTGGGGAATTAGAAGAACTCGCGATAAAATAATAATTTAAGAGTGTCTGAACATTACACAAAACTTAGCATGTTCTGGGGAATCAGAAGAACTCGTGATAAAATAATAATTAAAGAGTGTCTGAACATCTACACATAACTTAGCATGTTCTGGGGAATCAGAAGAACTCGCGATAAAATAATAATAATTTAAGAGTGTCTGAACATCTACACATAACTTAGCATGTTCTGGGGAATCAGAAAAACTCGTGATGAAATAATAATAATTAAAGAGTGTCTGAACAACTACACATAATGTAATGCCTGAAACTCAACAACAACAGACAAATAACTCATTATTAACGTGTCTTATTTTACCTCTTTATATACACTATATTTGTAAACAGCGTGCAAACTAAACTGTGTAACTCTTTTTATTTGTCTGACAGTTCTTCACTATTTTTATTTTTAGGAAAACTTGAAAACCGGCTAATTTAAGAGTATGTTTTATAATATTTAAAACTAATACATAACATAAATCTGACACACGTTTTTGGTGTACACACGTATATACATATCTTAATAAATGTATTGTCTTCACTGTTTTACAGAGACATTTCTGATAATATGAAATAACCATACACTTTTTTATTGAAAATCATTACGTTAGTTCAGTGATTCTCCACTTGTGATGTTTGCGAACTACCTTTATTTTTATTTTTTAAACTTGTTTTGCTATTATCTCTGAAAACCACAACTGTCGTAACATCATAAGAATAAGGTTTCGGAATTATCTTCTTAAAACATAGCATCAAATGACAATAAAGCCATAAACAAAAAAACAGAGAGAAAGAGAGATTGTATCCCTACCTCAGTGTTAATCCTATCTCTACTGATACCTCTCATACTGAGGTACATTTTATCCTTTCCACAATGTACTTTAAACCTAGTTTTATTTTTCTGCCTTTTACGAGCGACGTTTTTTGTGTGTGTGGGTATATTGGCCCTGTACTATGAATATTATATTAAAATATCATCAGAGGTAAGGATATTCTATGTTTACACACACTCTCTCTCTCTCCTTTAGCCATTAAAAATTAACGGAACTGTTGATTGATCTTTATATGCCGGAAGTAGTTCCAAAGGTCAGGAAACCGATGGACACTGTGTTTGTGAACATCACTGTGTAGACCAAGTTGACCAGGTAGAAAACAACGTACATATTGCAGTGACTTGTCCATAACTGCTAGAACATGATTTCGGACGATAGCTTTCATCGTGATCTTATGAGAACACACCATGCAACCCGTGCACGTTCTACTTCATGGTCGAATTGGTCCACACACCCCGAGTTTCACAACGTAGTGTCCATCGGTTTCATAACGCACTCACTGGAAGAGCGAAAGTGCTTTTGAAACACCCAATGTGTGTGTGTGTGTTCAAACACAGATAAACATCCAGCAACATTGAATGATTTTCTTAACTTCCCAAAATGGCTGCCGTTCCTTAAACAGTAGGTTTATTAGGTATTCTAAGGACATTCTTTGAAAATGAATTTGATAAAGCTATTTGTATCTTTGCTTCTCAACCAAAAAAAAAAACAACGTGTATAATGTAAAACAGCGAAAGATACAGAGTTTTCGTACTTAGTTTCGTTATTATTTGTGTGGTGATATTGTTGGATACGTGATTAGTTTCATTATTATAACGAACGTTAAATTGTGTAGTGATATTGTTGGATACGTGCTTAGTTTCATGCTTATAACGAACGTTAAATTGTGTGGTGATATTATTGGATACGTGCTTAGTTTCATTATTATAACGAACGTTAAATTGTGTAGTGATATTGTTGGATACGTGCTTAGTTTCATGCTTATAACGAACGTTAAATTGTGTAGTGATATTGTTGGATACGTGCTTAGTTTCGTTATTATAACGAACGTTAAATTGTGTAGTGATATTGTTGGATACGTACTTAGTTTCGTTATTATAACGAACGTTAAATTGTGTGGTGATATTGTTGGATACGTGCTTAGTTTCGTTATTATAACGAACGTTAAATTGTGTCGTGATTTTGTTAGATACGTGCTTAGTTTCATGCTTATAACGAACGTCCGTGTGATGTTATTGCTCGGTGTGTACTTAGTTTCATTGTTATAACGACCATCAAATTGAATGATGATATTGTTGGATATGTGCTTAGTTTTAATTGTTACTGGAAGCGCTTAGGTTTTGATTATTACGAACATGAAACTAAATTAAGATATTGTTGGAAAACTTGGGACAGCAGTTAACATCTATAAAACAATCCAAGCAGAATATTCAGGAAGAGTTCTATGTGGAGCCGCCCCCTTCGTTATGTCTATTTTTATTTTATTTTTTACCATTGTTAGTTCGAAAACTAGCGTGAGAAAAGCTTCCTGGTTTTAATCTCCTTGCCAGGATGTGTTTCCTGTGTATTGTTTAGGGGTGGATCGTTTATTTCCGCATGCATTTTATATAATGCGTACACTTTCGATGTTGGGAGAAAAGCTCCCGACTCCTGGAGGGATCGTATTTTAATGACAGTGAAGCATACTTAATGGTTTAACAATTCACCCTATATCGTTAGTTGTTGTTGTTGTTTTCTTAGGGTATTGAAAATGGTGCCTAGAATGTAGCCAATCTTTGCAGCAAGGTATATACTAAGTACTATCTTCTGGTTCTCTTAACAAGCATTGGACTACTGAACACAAACTATAAATTAAAGACATAGTTGAAGATTGTTAGTTTTAACCAGTTATTTTTTTTTGTCGAAATAAAAGTTGTCCCCCTCTTTAAAAATTAAAATACGTAATGTACACAAAATTTATAGTAACTGTTTCTTTTTGTCAGTTTATGATAAGTTTTAAATAACACATTAAAATAAGAACAAACCCCATCATAAAAAAATCAAAACTTAAAGTCTGCTTGTTCTGTATATAGTTCAGTAAATACACACAGCTACGAAGAATCAAATACATATGCACATATATTATATTTTCGGTCTATTTACTCGTTATACTATTACTAGTTTCAGTCAACGGTACCCACATCTTGAATATATTAAATCTACAATGTTGACAACTTTGCTGGTTTAATTTTTTAAGCCTGTAACGTAACATTTGATTCTAATGTCCATAACATGACTGGCCTAAGTTTACAATATACCACGTCTGTCTTAAACCTGCAGAGTTTATAACATAGTGTCCATAATGCAGATAGTTACAA